ACACACACACACACACACACACACACACACACACACACACACACACACACACACACACACACCGTCTTTCTTCAAAAGGTTTAAAGGCCTTGACTGCGCTACAAGGATCTGCAGTATTTTCTTCTGCTCCAACCCCTAAACTCTTTTCTTTTAGCCTCATATGAGCCACTGTGCACGGCTGCCCTTCAGCGTAATAATTATCAGGATTTTTTCTGCTTTTTGCTTTCTGTGCATTGTTTTCTCTCCTTCTTGTTTCTTTGAACTCACCTCTCTGCCGGTCAATATGTGTCGCGCCAGTTTAACCTTGGCGAAGTTGCCTTTGCCGATGGTTTTGAGCAGTCGGTAGTTTCCAATGTGTGGCTGTTCATCTGAACACAAGGCGATGGAGTTACGACATCTGGCACCAAGTGAGCGGCTTGACCAGCCCGTGCCCTTCTCTGAGCGGCTGGCCGACAGGGAGGTATGCTGAAGAAAGAGAGAGAGATAAATACATAAACTACTGTGACTGACACCATTCCTTCTTAATGAACAACACAGTGGAATCTTAAGAACTGTATCCAATGTGAAATCTTAGATGTGATACTCTCTAACTGTAAGAGAAAACTAATTTTGCTTGAAAGAGGACTCACACTCACAGTTCGTTAAATAAAAACAACATTAGAGCTGAATGGTTAAAAAAAACCAAAATTTTTCAAGCAAAACAGTTCAGTTGTGCAGCTCTCCCTTGAAAATAAATCATAGTAGATGGAATATACCTATTAAATTTTATATCTATTGAATTTTTAAGTATTTTTTCACCTTTAATTGGCTAAATTATTATTTAGGTGGAAATTTAACTAGTTGCAGACCAAACATATTTAAAATACTTGCACCGATGTTGAAAGAGTGAAAGAGAGTCACAAGCTCCAAATGATCTGCATGCCTATAGATACCTTGTGACACTAAGTAACTGCATGCCTGTACCAGACACCAGAAGTTGAAAAAAAAAAAAGAGCACCCAGCACCCCTCGATGTTTTTATTCAGCACACTCGTGTGGCTGCAGGGTCAGTGACGTTAGACTCGTGTTCCTAATGATGGTGGTGGGAAACCGATCTGGCCTTCATAGCGTCTGTTGATACTCACAACATGCTCATATCTAAAACTACCACAACAGTCTGAATTTAATCACCCTTTAAAGAATAGATCGGTGAGTGAAACAGCAGGGTAACTGCGACAGCCAACCAACCAACACTTCATCATCTTCGTCACTTTTTCACAGTGATGAGGGAGAGACAGGAATATAGGTCTGACAAATGTTACGCTCTGTGTGTCAGCCAGACCCAACTCTACTCCAGCAATATGAGTGCAACGCTATCATTGGCCTTTGGTTCTACTGACTTTACATTGATCATGTTTCATATTTAAATTGGAGCAAAATGTTTTCTGATCATTTATCTTTGTTTTATCTCCCAGGCTTGACTGTCGGTTTTATTTGACTGCTTTACTTCAAGTTTTAATCTCTCCATTTGCTTTCCCGAGCACTGAATGGACACATAAATACCCATCTGCAGTAAGGATGACATGCGGAACAAAGAAACAAGAAAATAGAGGAAGCTTCAGGGCAAACGCAGGTACCTGACCTGACTACAATGAAAACAAACATCTGGAATGAAGGGTGAACATTACTATTGTAAAATCTCAGCATTAAATGTTGTTTGATAGCTACAAAGTACTCTCACAATCAATTAATGATGCAGAACCTTGTTCCTGACAGTTGTATCAGTTTTTACCTTGTAACTCAAAGCCGAATGAGATTCAGTCCTTCCTGCAAATGACTTGCTACACTTTTCACTATATTTAGCAAATCACCACTTTTCTCTGTGAAAGCCATCAGGAAATGTTCCAGCTATAGACCGCTTCATTTGGAAAACTGTAAATAGCAACTAAATGTTCATTACTCACTGTGTTACAGGGTGATATTTCATGCAAAGCATGAATAATTAGCATTATTTTCAAAGGACGAAAAAGTGCCCCGTCATTGCAATCAATTAAAAATGAAAAAGCTCAAATAAATTGCATAGTACTCCATACAGATTTCAAAGTTCAGCATTAAGAGCTGTTCACTCGTGTGAGACAGCAATTTTTTTTCTCCCACCTGATTTCTTTAAATTCAGTTGAAATGAATTGCTTTCATTTCTACCCCAGATTAGCGGCGTCTCTGCCTGGACAAGCAAAAAGTAAAAAGTGCCAGAAAAAGTTCATGCCCAGCCCTGTCAGATGAGACCTTTTAGAAAAATGAGAATTACTCAATATTCAAAAACTACATGTCATAAGAAACTGCAGAGACTTGTAGCATCATTGATGTTAAGTGATGTAGAAAAAAAGAAAAAAAAAACCCAAAGATTTCTACAAAAATCATGTCTGTTTTTTTAGATGACTCAACAGCCGGCCCTATTTCCACCAACTCAGTAGTGCAGGAACATATTTGCTTCTCGTTTCAGGAGCCAACTCACATTTTCATGGGTTTGAGAATAATTTTTATCTGGTAAATGTTGCCGTGTTGGTATATTTCCACAGAAGCAATATTCTGTGAATCACTGGTAAATTTCTAGATTAGGCAATATCACTGGCAGAGTGTTGAAGAAGAATCTGCAGACAAATGAGGTTCAAGTCAAGAAGATCTGTGATTCCACCTCAGACTGTATCACCATTTGCTGTTAGGACCTTTTAAACCCAGCCTGTTTTACCCGTTTGCATCTCTCAGACATCAAAAAGCTTTCATCGCGCCTCCTTTTTGTCGTTCTCTTTGTGGACTTCCATTCTTAGATTTTATTAGCTTTCCAAAATGCATTTTTTTGAAACACTTGAGGCATTTTCCCCTCATATTTCTAATACAAAACAGCAAAGACAAAGAGAAAAGCAGGTTTTTGAGAAATGTGCTACATCCCTGGGGGGAATTAACTGGTTGTAAATGAAGAAAGGAGATGTTTCTAGCTCATATGCTATGTGAAGAAATTACTATTAAAAGCTAAACTACCATGTAAAAAAACAAAATGTCGAGTTTATAGTTTAGAAGAATAAATTTGATTGTGGACTGTCTGCAACATTAATCAGTACACCAGAAAACAAATAAAAATCGCCCTCAGCTGATATTCTTTCATCTCTCCTTCTGATGCTGATCACACGTCAAGGTTCGGACCAAAATAGTACAAACTGAAACTAATATTTTATTGAAGGATTATAACTAAAGAGTTGGAATATGATATTTAAAACGCCATAGCCACCAAGCAAATGTGTTTCTTCATTTTCTCCTCTTCCTCTCCCTTCCCCCCTTTAATTTCACCTCCTCTTCTCTCTCCTCTGGTTCATCCCTTCCCCCAGACAAATCAATTTGCCTCCTTTCCCTCTATTCTCCTCGCCATGCCCGGACACGCCCTCTCTTTTGTCTCACGACGCTATCTTCATTTTCAGCGACCTCTCATCATTTTGAGCATCCCGGTGGCCTCCATCACACTACTCCCATCTCGCCATCTCCCCATCTTCAGGGAGTGCAGTCTATCGATTCACCCAATCCTGCTGATTACCACGCAGTTTCATTCACAAGCAGGCCCGTGCATGTGTGTGTGTGTGTGTGTGTGTGTGCTTGAGCAAGATGTGATGGAGTCTATATTGCTGGTAGACTGCAGCAGCAAAGATATCATAGGGTGGGGAGTGGGGCGATTAAAGCCTCCACCCTCCCCCTCCAGTATGGGTGTAAGGTGACATTTGATATAGAAGATGGATGAAGGGCTCTGTGTGTGTGTGTGTGTGTGTGTGTGTGTGTGTGTGTGTGTGTGTGTGTGTGTGTGTGTGTGTGTGTGTGTGTGTGTGGGGTGGTTGTTGCTAAATGATTTGCACATTCAGCAAACAAGCTGCACCTTGTCCTTGTAGACTGAAAGCACTGAGATTTGGTGTCCATGTTCTGCATCGTTAAATCGTAGCAAGAACGTATGCGAGGTTAAACCAATACAATGTTTGTCCTTATTACAAAATCAGATTTTGCTTCTGTCCAGTATGCATACTCCGGAGCTGAAAAATGATAAAGTACCAAAAACACCACTTCCTCTAATGATCCTTAGGGTATCCCCAGATCCCAGTATTAAAATTCCCAACTTTGAACCATTAAAAGCACATTTATGGTCTGGTTCAAAAAAGCGTTGAACCCTGCTGATAACAGCTGCATAGTGGGAAGCTATTTTCAGAACTCACTCCACTTGGATGCTGCTAAGGTGTAAAATTAGTCACTAAAGTGGACTGCTCCACTGTGTTTGTACTGATGGTGCCTCTTGAAGCGTTTTTAATAAAATTATCTGACAATACAGCTTGTTGACTCTTAAAGACCACCAAAGAAGTTTGTGCTTCAGTTTCCTTGAGTGAGATTCTGGTGTTTTGTTAGTCTCTCATTTTACAGTTTACACTTTAGTCTCTATGAAGAAAAAACAAGCTGAAATGTTCTTTGTTACTTTCTGAATAATTCCTTTGACATCATCTTACAGAGGAACACACTGTTGACAGGCAAGGCTCCTGTCAATGACTCAACAAAGGAAGCATGCCAGCTTATTCCTATAAATTCATGTGTGGCTTACACGAATGACAGCTTGATGTCAATTAAACAACAATGCGCTGAAGGTGTGAGCGTAGCTGCCAAAGGGCCTGACATGATGCCGAAAGATCTGACGCCGACTTTTAGCTTGAAAAGTTGCCAAAAGTTGTTTAAAGAAATTTCTACACTTTATGCACAGTCATCCACGTGTATAATCAGCTTATATACACAGGTGCAGGACATTTTCCCCACATCAGGCAACACAACATGTATGTCCGAGCACCTTAATGGTTTTATTCCAAACCTGCAGTGCTCATTACACTTTACACTCTCTGTTCTGGCACTTTAATATGATCTGGTGTTTGCTGTTTTCTGCTTTACTTGCTAATTTACTTCATGTAGCCATTTTATTGTATAGAGTAATTTGATTTTGTGGAGCTATTTGCTTTTGGCTGATGTTTTCTTATTAGATTTTGTGTTAGTTTAATATAAGCTGGCTGCTATAACAGAATATTTTTAATGTTATAATTAATAAGATAAAATAAAACTACAGCCTCTTGTGCAGTTTCTCAACATTTTCAGATCTTTATGATGGCGTGACATGCCTGAAGGATGATGATCATGATCAAGTGTCAACAAAGCAGATAAAGATCTGTTCTTAAACCAAGAGCAAAAAATGATTTAACACTAACACATTTAACTGGGGTTTTTTTTAAGCAGATCTGCAGCATTCTGGTCCCGTCTTTTTCTGTGAAAAACTACAGAGATATGAGCTACAAATCACAGGAAACCACTTTTAGTTTGCAATAAGAGGTAAGTGTTCGCTCAGGTATGTGGTGGCATTGCGGTGGCATACACGTTTGCATGTCTGGCTTGGCTATTGTACAGCACAGGAGTTATCTT